GGGGAGGAGAGAAACTGCTGCAGCAGGTATATTAATGGGTAGGTCAAGGGAGACCAGACTGTACAAGTGGAGTTCAGCCCGGGCACCATGAATAACACTCCCCATTGAACTGGACTGGAAATTCCAGTTCAGACTGAAGAGTGCCACCTTCTGGTCCACCAACACCATTACAGTAACAGCTAAGTTTTCCTTGAAGGTCTTTTATCCCAGTACTAACCAGGCCCAGCCTGCCCCAGCTTCTAGGATCAGGTTATAAGGCAATGTAAAAAAAAACACACGCAAGAAAAGTTCTAAAAGCCTACTGATGAGTCAGAATACAATCGCTGCAAGAAAACAGTCCTTGCCTCTCAGTATAAGTGTGCTGACTGAATCCAATCCACTGTGCTCCGCAAGAAGATGAAATGAAGGGGATCTCGCTCATAGAGTAGCTGGCTACAAACCGATCCAGGGATCTCCTCCAGCTGTTTCTTGAAAGTAGCCAGGCTGGGTAGCTTGCGATAAGTATGGCCGCATTAAGATGTTAAACTCATGGGAACTATGGTGCTGTGGGGTGTGTATGGCTGTTACCAGCAGGTGTACCAGACTGGAGAGACTTTTGGTTCTAAGTCCAACCCGAATAGTCAATTAAACTACTAGCCTTGCTATTTTCTTAGAAATACACGGGATTGCGCTCGGTGTCTTCTACAGTTAACGTGGCGAGAAGAAGGGGAAGGACGTATTTAACGAGCCCAGCTCTGTAACAGACAGGGCGACAGGGCTCCACACCGCGACTTGCGCCCTGCTGTTTCACAGCCAGGTGGAGGCCGGGCACCGCCTCTCGCTCCTCACGCTGCCCAGGGCGCCGCCAACCACTGCTTCAGGGGCTCCCGGCCTGACCGCACAGCCTTGTGTTAATTCCGGCTCCTACACGCTCTGAAGGAGCGGCTAGCGGAGAGATGCCGAGCTTCCCAAAGTCACAGCGGTCTCCCTGTCCGACACCCGGCGTGTGAGCCCTAAACTAAACTCTGAGACCCTCTCTGTCGCCTCCTTCACCCGTGGGCGGTCCACGGCTTCCAGCAGCGGACCTGGCGGAGGACAAACAGGGCGTGCGAGAGCCCGTGTGAGATTTTACACCCAGACACCGACGACCCCCTGCTGCTCTGCCTGGGGCAGCGGAGAAAGTAAAACAGCAGATGTCGCACCCGAGCTGGGCTGACCAGCTCTGCCTCCGGGCAGTAAACACGCGCCGGGACCATGTGGGGTGCGCACCTGCCCGAGCCCCCGGTACCGAAGCCCCGCCAAAGTAACCCACCTCCTCTCCGGACACGCTGCAACTGAGCCAAGACCCGCAGTCCCCTCCAAGTCCAGGATCCGCAAGTTCGCCGAAACCTCACCGGCCGCCGCACAAAGGTCACGAACTCGATGACGTACAGGACCCCCGGAGGGACAAACAGAACCCGGGGACTGGCTGTAACGCGTTTTTCAAAACAAAGGAAAGCATGCGCAGTTAGTATCACACTGACACTAGATGTCTCTGGAATTCACGGCAGACAAGCAGAATAATCTTTCACATCTTTTCTGACTTGTGTCGCTAGAAGGAAATCTGTCCCTGCTTTTATAAAGCCATTATGATATTAGTGTTTGGATTTTTTTACTGGTTACCTCAATATGCTCCATGTGTATGAGAAATGCAAGTGATTAGAGGAAGGCTGTGCCAGTGACAGGGTTCACTCAATTAATTCTGCCAGGGTAAGACTACAGAGCTGCTTGGGAAGTATTGTCCTTGACATCTTTTGCAATACTAAGGTGGAAATAACTGAGTTCAGACAAACCATCATGTTCATTATTCCAGTCTGCACACTGAAAGCTGCACTGTCCTGCTCTCCGATCCTCAGCCCAGATCCGGAGCCGGGCCCTGGTGGGAGAAGCTGCTGTAGAACCAGGAAGAAGTGAGCGAGACCGAAGTGCAGGCTTTGGCCAACAATAGGGTTTCTGTTATTGCACTGGCTCGCTGCTTTTAAGTGAGCTTTTGTGAATGCAGGATTGGAAGTGTTTGACATCTCCTATGGGTTTCAGTTCTGGTTCTGAGTTAGAGGTGCTCAGGTCCAGAGCAGGAGTCCAGCAGGAGGGACGCGCTGCGCAGTCCTCACGCTCAGGATGGTCACACGCTGAAGGAACCCCAGCGTTACAGGGGCTGTGGGAGTGTGGAACAAGCTGCCATGCTGCTGATTGCGTCGAGACACCGCTGGCTGGGATCCTCTGATCGCCTGGATACTAGCGACCAAGTGACCTACAGTAGCTGAGCCACGTGGTCTCCCGTCAGTTGTGACCATTGTGAAGCTCTAACAAGGAAGAGTGCTGATCTCTCATTCTGCATCTCCATCTCCAGGCTGTTTAACGGCAGACTGAAGCCCAGGACGGGGGATTGCTCCTTGATTCCAGTAGCTGAAGGCATGTGGACGACCTCCCCAGTCAGGAGAGCCTGCAGACTGGCAACACACTCCGCACAGGCGGGAGGTAACTGGGGCCCATGGAAAGGAGTTCAAGCACATTAATCACAAGGCTGGCACTGAAGCTTGGATTTATGAGCATGTCTGCAGTAGCTTTGTATTTACTAATGTGTCAAGGGGAACAGGTCTTCAGTTATAAGATCTTCTCCACTACTGCCCTTCATTCTGGGTTTGTCTTCCGCACATAATAACCATGGTGTCACCTCTGCTCCTATCTGGTGCTGGTGGAGTGGTGGCTCTGTGGCTCAGGATCTGCGCCTGTGGCTGTAAGGAATCTTACTCCAAGGGGCCCCTGAGCAAGGCCCTTCACCCCAGCTGCTCCAGGGGTGCCTTATGAATGACTGACCCTGCACTTTCACCCTTAGCTTCTCTCTCCCTGTCTGTGTGTCTCATGGAGAGCAAGTTGGGGTATGTGTATGTGAAAAGACAAATTCCTAATACAAGAAATGTCCTGGAGCTACAAGCACATCTGTCCTGGACCTCTTTACCTGTGGTCAGCAGTGCTTGCCCTTTGAGCCTGTAACCATGGAGAGATTGAGAGATTATTCTAGAAAGAGTAGAATGCTCAGATGTATTTTTTCATGTATTTATTGGTTTATTGTTATAGCTAGAGTATGCTTTCAATCAAGCAATTACAGTTCTTAACATAAATAAAAAGAATTGTAAAAAAACATTGAAGCGTTTTGTTTTCTTCAGACATTACAATAACAACAATAATAAAAAGGAAACACATGAACAGAGTTTGGATATGTTCATTTCTTCTGTACCATGTAGTAGACCCAAAGTAAAGATATATATTTATATATTTTAAAAAATAAAAGCTGAAGTGTCTGTTTAATTAATTCACAATAATCCTCTTAAATTATTCACACGCAATATCTTGGAATACCATTATAGATATATGTACACATCGATAACAATGATATTTACATCCAAGTACACTTTTCTCTCAGGTTCTACTAGAAGTACATAGCAGCAAGTCTAAAGAGGAGAAAGACACTGGTGGAGTGCAGCTTCAGCTCCTCCCACTCAGCAGACCCTACGGAGAGACCTATAG